CATTGTCATCCTCTTCCAGGAGATCTTATCCTCGCAGTATCTCTTCGTATATGTGCTGGAAATAATTACCTAGATTCCTGAGTTCCTGCCCTCTGGAACCTTCTAGTCTATGACACACACAGTGACTCTTCTGATGAAGAGTTTGTCAGCTAGGTGACCTCCTGAAATACTACAACTAACCCAACGGAGGGGAAGCTTTGGCATCTCACGTCCGCCAGAGGTGCCTCCCTGGGCTGGGAGTGGGAGCCTCCGCTTTTAAGTGGAGCTAAGCTAAGGACTCTCTCAAGCAGTTCCCTTCCACATTTGGTGTCTCCTCAAGACTGGGCTCAGAGGAAGCCTCTCTGAAAGCCTTCCCCAGTGCTCACCCACCCTTACCTCAAGCTTACAGGGGCGGGGGTGGGGGGCGGTAAGTGGCAAACGGAAGGATACACAGTGCCCGTGAAAGCTAACGGGACAGGCTGCGTAACCCTCCCGCTTGCCCCCGCCGGCCTGTGAGCACCCTGTGGGGCAAAAGCCCGGCTCATCAGCTTTATATCCCCTGCGCTTAGCGTAGTCTTTGACAATGGCACAGGACAGGTACTTCTTTGTCGGGAAACCTGGGAACTTCAGAAGTGAGAAAGGTTTGGTCAGAGGTTCTCCTGATAAAGCCAGAAAGGCCAGGGATATGGGGACTGGAAAGTGATGGAAGTGATTAAAATGAAGATTTAGTGGGTAGTGGGGTCTTCTGTCTTTTGTTTTTGCTCGTGATTGGCGCTTAATAACTGTCTGAGGAACAAATGAACGGATTCCCAGTGAGCACGGTCGTCCCCTTGGGCAGCACTCCAGGATTAAAGGGCTGCAGTGGGGACTCAGAGGGACGTCAGCCTTCTTCCCAGTAGCTGATATCCTCCCACCTTCATCCAAGACAGCCCCTGGGTGCCTCCTGTAGATCATGGGTGAGACCGAGACCTTCGCGAAACCCCTACAGGTTTCTCTTGCCCGGGATCTTCTAGCCCGAAAGGAGTGGCAGACCAGGAGTCCTTGATGCTGCACTCCCCTCCCCGCAGGGTGACTGAGGGACCGTAGAGGATGCGCTAGCCTTCCCAGGCAGAGTCCAGGATGCCAGCAACACACTTGCCCCAGGGACAGTGGGCGTGTCCACGTCAAGAGCCCCCTTTCCGTGAAGGGCGGCGAACTCCCGGTCTCCCCGCACAAGGAAGGAAAGGAGAGCAGGTGACCGAATCCTCCCCGGCCCAGCTCCCGCGGGTTCTCAGACCACCCCCTCTGGGCGGAAATCTCTCCAGCCCTTCCTCTTCCTCCCCGCCCCCACTCGGTGGGTGTGCGCCAAAGACTGAAGCTGGGGTCACTTGGCGGCCAGTGTCCGCAGGTCTTCTGGTCGCCAGCCAAAGGGTGAAAGCATTCAGCACGGTGGCCTCAGCTTCGGGTCTGCCTGGGCTGCGAAAGAGGAGGGAAGGAGGAAGAGGAAGGCCGTCGGATGCTTGCTGAAGATTCGTTTCCTAATTTCCTAACTTGAGCCACCCACCGCCAGTGCGCTTAATGGCTCTTCTGGCTGGCTAATCGAGCTCTTTGGAGTGACTGACATAATGATCATCCTTAATCAATCCTGAATAACGAATACGCGAATCGACCGTCCTAATCTAATGAGGCGGGCCCACGCTAGTCTCCATAACGTAGTATCGATCGGCTTCCCCGGTGCCGGCCTCAGTTGCTGCTCCAAGGTTTTCCAAGCTCCCTCCTAGTCTTCTCCTCCGGCGGGAGCCACAGGGTACCGGAGCCCGGAGCAACGATCGGAGTAGGAGGGCATCAGCCGCCTTTGCGCTCGCCGGACTCCTCCCGCCGCCTGGGCGAGCGAGGCGCACCAACCTTGCAGAGGTCGGGGCGCAATCGGCGCGCGGGCGAAAAATGCGGGAATAAGTGCCCGGCAGGAAAAAAGCGCGGGCCCACTTCCGAGCCCCGGCGCCTTGTTTTCGAGTGCATTCGGGCCTCTCGCGTTAGGCCGGGTTACTGTGTCCCGGGCCCGGAGCCTGAGCTGACGTCTTCAGCTTGCCTCCCGGTCCAGGTTGCGTTCCGATCTTGACCGAGCACACCGGAGGCGCCAGCCTCCACCACAGCAAACCGAGCCCTCGCCGCGAGACGTCCCTCCAGGCCTCTGCCTCCGTCCTCCCGGCGGTTTGCTCCCCCGAAGCGCCCGGGCCGGGTCTCGGGCGCAGCGTTTCAGAGCCGCCGATCGGGCCGCCGAGAGGGCAAGGGGAGTGGGGAGGAGACGCTCGCTCTCACCCATGCAGTTATTAATTTCAAGGGAGTGTCACTTAAGTGAATGAAAATAACCCAGACTTGTGGCCAGAAGCGTCGCGTCCCCCGCCTGAGCACATTGCCCTTAGATCGCGGCCGAGGGGTGGAGGGCTGCAGAGCGAGCCACATTTCAGCCCAGTCCTCATCTCACCATTTTCCAGGCGCTCCAGCTAGGGGCGAGGATCGCAGGGTCAGGGGGTAGGGGGGGCGCACACATATTTTGGGGGCAGGGGTTAGTTGAGGAAGGGTGAGGTCGTGGTCTAGTTTTGGGGGGCCCGGCACCCGGTTGGGGGCGCAGCCTTGTTAGCCTCTCCCCCTCCTCCTCTTCCCCTCTCCGCAAACACCCTGAAGGAATGAGGTCACGTGGGTGAGTGGTGGGCGGGACCTACTCTTGTCTGGAGGAAAAAAGCCATTTTGTCTCCCCCCCCGCCTCCGAACTCTGGTCCCTCCCCTACCCCCTCCGTCCCCTCCCCTCCCCTCCCCTCTCTCCCTCCCACCCCAAACCGCTTTCACAAACTCCTTTCTTACCGTAGGTTTCTCCCCTCTCGCCGCCCGAGCGAGCGACACGGCTGCGGCCCCCCTCCCCTCCCTTCCCTCCCTCCCTCCCATCCCCCCCTCCCCGAGACCCACCGGACCCCGAACCCAGGTAAGCGGACGCGGACTCCCCTCTCCCTCCTTCTCCTACCCCGTAACCATCTGGGGACTGGGACTGGGAGCCGGTACCTCCTTCTTTACAAACCCCTGTGGGGGTAGGTTCTGAGCCAGGCCTTCTCGCGTCTCCGCCCCACCCCCGCCGGCCCCTGTCCTAGCTCGCCCCGTCCGCCTTTCTTTCTCCCTTTTCTCTCTCTCCTTTTCCTCCCTTCCAAGATGGCCGAAGTGCATTCCCCTTTTAACGATTTGGCGTCTCCCTCGACCACCACCTCTTTGTGCCTCAGCCCCCCTAGACCCTGCTCCCGAGGTAGCGAGGGGGAGGGTCCGAGGCAGCCACAAGGGCTTTGGGGCTCCGCGCTGGGGCGGATCTCTGCCCCCCTAGCCCTCCCCACGAGCCAGCTCAGCTCCTGGACCTCTCCCACTACTCCTTTCGGTTTGGGGAGGGGTCGCTCTCGGTTTCTTCGTTGGGCACTGGGGCGTCGTGGACGCGCGAGGACTTGAGGCGGGGAGGAAGGGGACGAGCTTTTCGATTGCTGCGAGGCCGGGGGAGGGCGCTCTTCCCTGCCGGGACCGGTCGTCTCGGGCACCTCCCCCAGTCGGTCCCTTTCACCCCGCCATCCCGGGACTGGGCGCCCCGCCCCCTCCCCTCCCCGAGCCACCTCGGCGGAGCCTCTTTCTCCGGAACACCCCTCCTCGGGCCCCGCCGAAAGTTTGGCTCTAGGGAAGGTAGGAGCGGCCACCCGGTGACTGGGGTCTCTGATCTTCTGACCCAGGTTCCTGGGGATGCCGGGGTGGAGGGAGTAGAATGGAGATGGGGAAGATTTATCGCGATATTTCCTATCGCCCGCAGATGCAGGAGGGGGCTGGCGGACTGGCCGGTCTTCCACTGGGGAGCCCGGCTGCCCCCTCCTTTCCTACGTCTTCCTGCTTCTATTTCTGAGAGAATGGGACCCCTCGGCGAGCAGACACCCCTGCCCCTCCTGTCTCCACGGGGGGCCCAGGCATACCTCTCTCCCTCCCCCACTGCCCCCGTCTGCCCAGAATTGCTCCGGATGGCTTGAGGTGGGGAAGGAGGAGGCCTGGGGATGGTGAATTTGCCTGTAAATATTGTGGAAGCGTTGCCCCGCGCTTCCCCCTGGTCTTTGTCTCTCAGAGAGCCCCCCCCCCACCCCCGCCGTGCTGCCTCAGTCTCCAGGGCTCCCTGTCGCTGGGGGCGGGGGGTGGGTCTCCTGGTTGTCTCCCACTCCGTTCTTAAGCCTCCTTCTCTGGGCCTCTTGCAGTTTGCATCTGTTCCTGAAACTCTATAATTTCTCTTCCTCCCCCTCTCCACTCTGTTCCAAGGTGCTAGTACTTGGAGAAGGAGCATAAAGGCAGCTCTGTTATAGCTTTTCGGTGGGGAGGTTTTCCCCGGGGTTTCCTGGTTTGGAGTTGGGGGTTGAGGTCTTAGAGCTGTCTTTGGAATGAGGCAGGAAACAGGCCTGAGGTGAGACTTGGGACTTGGGATCCAGAGTGTAGCTGGGTGGGGTTCAAGTTGAAGTCTTTGTGGGGGGTGCTCTCTCCTGCTTCTGGTCTTCCCTGGGAGATCTTGTTTGATGGAGCTGTTGCCATGGGAATGGAGAGAGCCTGAACAGGAAGAGGTGACATCTTCGTGCAGGTTGGATGCCCACCCCACTCCTCCAGCCTCTGGACCCCAGAGCAAGGCTGGGAGCTGCACTGCCTTTGTTGCTGGAAGACTTATGTTAGAATTTACCCTCGGTAGACCGGGGATGCACAGAAGGGTGGTGTGTGTTTGCAGCTCTGGTTTCAGGCAGGGATGTCAGACTCTGTGCTCCTGCAGTGGGTGGGGGCGGCTTGTACATCTGGCAAGCGTGGGCCTGGCTCTATGTGTGATGGGGTGTTTCTGTGTGTGTGTCTGGCCAAGTGTCTGGCCTTGTGTGTTGTGAATGTGAGAGAGAAATGGAGGGGGTGTGTCTGACTGTGTGTGCATATGTGTGTGTGTATCTGGCAGTGTGTATCTGTGTATATTTTGGATTTTTGTCTTTGTTTGATCTTAGGAAGCTGAGAGGTGGGAAAGGGAGGGAAGGTAGGGTGAGCCTGTCTTCAGGAGACTAGAGGACTTTTTTGATGCCGCTGGTGGGAGGCGCAGATCCTCCACCCAAGGTCAAGGATCAGGGAACATTGAGAGTTTGACAGCGTCCCAGACAGACCTCCACCCCCTACTCTCCCTACACACACACAAATACACAGGCTTGCACAACTGAACCCGAACTCCTGGGACCCAGTACAGTCTGGCTCACTGAGCTTCCACAGAGCCTGCTTCCATATCTGTATCAGGAAAATTGGGTGAGGCCATTTGCCTCTGCCCCCTCTTTCTCTTTCAAGGCGAGAATGTGTGCTGTTGGTTATGTTTTGGCCCATATGGCTCACTGAATGGTCTTCTGTGGAACCTGGAGTCCTTCTACCTTCCGCCTGCCTGGATGGAGTCAGGCCAGGCTTATTGGTTCCTTAGATGAGTAGGAAGCCCGGCCTGGGTGCCAGTGTGGAAAGAGCACTGGAACGGGAGTCAGGCTGCGTCTAGTCCTAGAACTGCCACTGAGTGACTGCATGACCTGAGACAAGTCACTTCTTTCTGAGTTTCTTCATCTGTAAAATGAAAGGACTCGACAGGATGCTTTCTAATAAGATTCCTTCCACCTCTGCCATTCTAGATGTCTGGATGTGACCTTCAGTGACTCTTCCCAAGACTTGGAGATTTTCTAGTGAGGGAGTTGGGTGAATTTCATGTGGAGGGAAAGCAGAGCAAAGAATTCTGTAGCTGAGCATCTGAAGGAGCAGAAGGGAACCTCTGGGTTATCAGAGATTGGCTATTTCTGCAGTGGAAAAAGAAAAAAAACTAACGCTGAGAGAAGTCTAAATTACGGGGGAGCTTCCAGAAAAAGACTGGTAAGAATGGAGAGATGGGGGGTGATCTCTATAAGTAGGGGACTTTGAGAATGGGGAAAGACACAAGCCAGGCTTGGGTGGCAAGGAGGAGTTGGGGTTGGGTGCTGATCAAGCTCCCTTCCTGCCACTATAGCTGAAACCCGGGGCACCAGGGGCCAGGAGCAAGGGCTGTTCCACCATGATGCCCTTGCAAAGACAGTGGTTTGGGGACAGAAGATATTGAAGGACTTGCCCCCCGGTTGGGGGAGGTATTGTGGGTGGGAAACAGTGCTCAGGTCCACTGTGGGGTTGTGGTCAGTACTGACCTGTGAAAGCCTCCAGAGCTCCACAGGGCCACTTCTAAATGGCCCTTGGTCTCCCTTTTTCTGCTTCTTGGGACTTGTCTCTCCCTCTCCTTCACCCTCAGGCTCTTCCCTAAGGTGATGGGAGCTGGAGGTCCAGCCAGTTGCAGCTGGGGAGGAGCTGGATATGAGGTGTGGGGCCCTGGGGCCTCCTGGGGGGAGAGATGGTGAGTGGGTGAGGGGACAGGGCTCCTGTCTACAGTTGTTCTTGGTACCTGCTGGCAGGGCCCTGCGGGTAACCATGGCAATCAGGTGAGGAACCAATCAGTGCTTCTCCCCACCCCCAGCCCCAGAGGTCTGAGGCCCCTGGGGATGGGGCAGGGGGAGCAGGGAGTGTGGCAAGGGGGCTCATTTCTTAAAGGGAGAAGGAGGAACATTTCATCCAGTAAGCACCACAGCTCTCGCCTTCACCCGTGCATCCAGAACAGAGCTTGAGGGGTAGTCTTGGTCTGAGTGCTTGCAGAAGTGAGAGGGTGAGGGTCACGGCCATTTGCTTAGGAGCTCTCGCATGTTGAGGCCACAGTTGGCCTGGAAGGAACTGCATGAGAGTTCTTAAAAGCAAGTGTCTGCTTTGAAAACACAGTGAGTATGTGAATGAGGTGGCTAAGGCAGTGTGAAGCGCACGCGCGCACGTGTGTGTGTGTGTGTGAGAGAGTGTGTGTGAGAGACAGAAAAGAAGGCATGAGATTTGCCAATAGCAACCAGGACCCTCATACGTTATCAGACCGCCAAATGTTTTGTTTCTGGCTGTGCACACACACCCTGAGATTCATCTGGACAAGGCACACACATGGGGCAAGTAGTCACATGAAGTACCGTTGGAGGTCCAGCAGCATGTACGCATCCGATGGATATTACACACGCTCAGCGAGTCAGCCACTTGGAGTTTGTTCCCTCCTCTGGATGGTTGTAATAATATTTGGGCATCTTGCCAGGGGTTACTATGGGAACGACCAAACAGTGTAGTAGCCAGCAAGGCTTCTACATAATTATGAAGAGGGGACCCGTGCAGGGAGAGCTGGCTGAGGGGAGGCGGGAACCCCTTTCCTTCCTCGGGCCATGTCTGCAGGTCTTGGCCGCCGCGTCTCCACTGGCTCTGGGCTTGCTTGTTCCTCTCCGTCTGCCCTGCAACTTGGTGTGTCTCTCACATGTGGCCTTTGTGTCTCTCCATCTCTTTCGGTCTCTGGCCAGCCTCTGTTGGCTGTTTGGGTCCTGGCCAAACTCATTCTGGGGTCTCTATAGAAACTGCTGATTCCCAGCTGTGAATTTTGGGTCCTAGAAAACCCAATGTGTTGGCTTTAGAAATCTTTCTGGAAAGGAGAGAAGGATGTATGTTGTAAAAGAGCTGTCGGGACTTGGCCGCCCTCCCCAGCCCTGCCCCTTGGGCTTCTACTCTGGGAAAGAGGAGGGAGGTGCCATCGCTCCTGGGCGCAGGCTGGATTTCTACACCAAGAAGTAAGCACGTCAGCCAGTCCAGACCTGGGCTGTGCCTTTCCTCCCCGGACCCCGCCCGGGCCTGGCTGGGCACTCGGTGGGCTGTGGGGAGAACTTTCTGCATAGCTTTGGCAGGCATCTCTGAGAGCCTGTGGTCTGTCACCGGGCAGCTTGTGGCCGGGTTGCAGACAGGATACGGCGGGTGGGTAGCAGTGCCCACGTGGGGAGATTCCTGCGTGTGCCTGGGAGGGGCAGCGTGCAGCAGGCTCTTTGTCGGGGCACATGGTGGCCTTCCTGTGGAAGGGGCAGTAGCAGTCTTTTTGCCCAGACTTTGCAGTTAACCTGCAGAGTCCAGGGCTGGGCCAGGGGGCGGGTTGGAGCCGTGTGTTCCCAACTTTGGGCACATAAGGACCATCCTCAGTACTTCCTGCTTGAGCACCAGGCCTAGAACCTGCATGGTCAGCATATGGTGCATTTCCAGGGAGCTGCTCCGGGGCTGGGGCTGGATGCAGCAGTGCAAGGATGAGTTATGGGGTGCCCCCTTCAGCCTTAGGGCGGATGTGCCCCCAGAGTTTCCAGGGAACGCGTCCTGGAGAAGGAGTGATGGGATGGAAGGACGGTAGGATGGATTAGAAAGACCCAGTCAGGAGTCTAAGTTTCCTCATAGTTCCTAGTGAGTTCACTTGAGTGAATATGGATTGGGATCAGGGAGATATTTTAAAACTCCATTCTCTTCCATTTTCATGCCTCCCCACATCCTCTGGAGAGTTGAGTAGTACTTCCTGTGGTCTAACCTCAGTCTTTCTGCTGTCCTGAGATAGAACCTGACCTTGTTGCTCAAGGTCGTGAGATCTCCAGAGCCCCTGGCACCCAGTGAACACTCACAGGGGGTCAGAAAGAACCATCCCCACATGTGCACCCCGTCCGGCCTTAAAGGGAAAGGAAGGGCCTTGGGCCCAGGAGCGATGTCGCTTGTGGGGCAGGTGGAGTAGAGTGTGGGAGGGGCTCTTAGCTCTGTGGGTTCCTGATTCCATGTTTGTTTCCCAGGGTGACGCTCCCCAGTCCCCTGCCCCCCACCCCGGCATCATGCATCGGACCACACGGATTAAAATCACGGAGCTGAACCCTCACCTCATGTGTGCCCTCTGCGGGGGGTACTTCATCGATGCCACTACCATCGTGGAGTGCTTGCATTCCTGTGAGTTGAGTCGAGGGGCTGCTCCTCGGGTGGGTGGCCTCTGCCCTGAAGAGCAAATACGTCCATGTGTCTGGTGAGGTCCCAGGTCCCTGAGAGGCTGCCTTGGAGGGGATACTGGAGGGTTCAGCTCAGAAGTTCATTTGGGGAATTTTACCTGAAATCTCAGTTCTCTCCTTGAATCTCTGTGGCTGAAATTGCACTCCCGGAAGGTGCAGGTGCCCTG